TTTTTTTTCCTCTGCGATGCTTTCAGGATCTGAAAAGTAAACGTAACCCTCGCCTGGTCCCTTACGCCCTGCTGGATGAGCGCACCAAGAAATCAAACCGTGACAGCCTACGCGAGGCCATTCGCACCCTGATTGGTTACGGTTACAATGTGGAGCCATCCGATCAAGAAGGTGGTGTGTTACATCTTAAAATGTGGGCTAAATGGACAAAAGCATTGAGGAGACGAGAGGTGTAAGAGCCAAGTGCCCCAATACTTTTGTCCATGCACATGGCTATTACTTTCCAAACTCTTTTTCACGTTTAAGAAGCCTTCTCTAATTACATTGCCATCCCTTCCAGGACAAATGGTTGAGCGACTCAGCATCGACAAAATCCGATTTTTCAGAGTAGAACGCACATACGCGGTGAAGACGGGGAAATGGTACTTTGAATTTGAGGCCGTCACAGGAGGAGACATGAGAGTTGGCTGGGCAAGACCTGGGTGTAAGCCAGATGTGGAACTTGGCACAGATCAGTTGGCTTTCGTCTTTGACGGATACAGGGTAATCGCATCCATTATTACTTTTCATTTCTCTTTGTCAAAGTAAGAGCACGAGAGATTATTTGAACCAATGTATCTCCTTCTAGGTGCTAGAGGTCAAATGTCAGATGAGCTGATACGTTTTGGCATATCTTCCGGCAGTTCTCAACCTGACGTTTTGACAACAGTCTTATCAATTCAATCAAGCTGAAATGAAGTCATGAAATATGGTGCAATTTTCATAGAAAGCTTTTCAAACTTGGAACAATTATTTCATGATGCCAAAGCAACCACCAGTGACTTCGAATCATCAACATGTATCTGAGAGGAAATTAATATCGATATGCACATCAGCCGCTTTCACACAGACTTTCTCACTAATCACTCGTTACTCTTTGCCAATGACTCATTGGGTGCAATATTGTCATTTTTTTTAAAAGGAGGCCTTCAACAGGTCATTTTTGCACATTTTCATCCGGTCTTCTTGACATGTGCACAGGGCCACTGTCTGAATTTGGGTGGCCGTTTGTTCGGGCGCTGCTGGCAC